ATAGTTCTTTAGATAAATGTTTTAATATCTTCTATTTCTACCACAAATGAACTAATTCATATGTTCGTGCTCGTGAATCGAACAGTCGGCATCAGTCGCTAAGATGCTGCTTAAATGTAGCAAATTAGTGTTGTCTTTACAAATGCAAAAATAAACGAAAATGTCAGACATTCAAGACAAACATTAGATATGATTTTAAAATATTATGCAGTTAAAATATGCTTTTGTTCACAAATTTGATTTGGTGAAAAAGGCTGATTTTGTTAGAATAAAACTGCATCTGCTTTACAAAGTAACTGGTAATATCAGACGCATGATAATATGTTGTGACCCAGCACTGTCTGTTTCTTGTATGAAAATGTTTTATTTGTTCACTTTTTTTTTTCGTCTCATATGGCACGGTTTATATTTAGTGATTTGGCAAGAGATGTAAATACCACGTTACAATCAATCAGAAATTGCTGGATGAATAAATAATTTCTTTGTAAATAAATACTAATTCTTTTCTATTTACATTCCCTTAATATATGTGATTCTACTATTAAATGAGATTATTCAGGATTATATCTTCATGGAATATTTGAACTGTATATGGGTTTTCAGTTATACAGCAGTTCTGTTCAGACTCTCTTCACAGTATGTACACGTGTGACTGAGCAATATAATTCATGTCTGCTGATGATGTTTTAAGTGAACATATTTGTGAAAGGAACACAGCCTTCAACCCTCTTTTATATTATAAAACCCCTTTAAATCCACTTGTGTACAAACACACACACACACACACACACACACACGGTCCAGCCCTCTCATATTGTACAGTATTTATGACTCTTAAAAGGCTGATGTAGTCAGAGGACATGCAGATGGTCAAGGGCAAAGCTGATAGTCATTGATCCAGAAGTGCTTACACCTGGCTCACATTAAACCCTGGTCAATTCTGTCCTTGGTGTAAAAACACACCTCGGACATTTACGTGGTACACTGGAAGACTTGTTTTCAGCAAAGAAAGATTCCACTCTAATTTACCCTATGCCAAATAATGAAACAATAGAGAGACAGTATAGGAACAAAATATGAAGCATAAAGGGAAGGGCACACTAGATTTTCACTAGTTTAATTTGCTTCCATTCATATGCAAACAAACACGAAGAATGCAGACAATGCTTTGCTGCATACTAATAATTTGGCCGACTTTGAGCTGCCTATTCGAATAGCTATAAAATCTTTGACCAGTAGTGGATTTGAATATCATATTGATGTTTAAACGTGGAGGAATTTCTGAGTTTGGGGATTTTTCATCATCGTTCAAAGGTTTGGGGTTGGTAAGATTTTTTTTTTTAAAGAAATTAATACTTTTATTTAGCAAGGACACATTATAATGATCAAAAGTGACTTTTAAATAGTTACAAAAAAATGTAAATAAAGGAATTTTATTTTAAATAAATGCTGTTCTTTTTAAACTTTCTATTCATTAACGAATCCTGAAAAAAAAATCACGATTTCCACAAATAAATATTAAGCAGCACAACAGTTTTCAACATTGATAATAATAAGAAATGTTTCTTGAGCAGCAAATCAGCATATTAGAATTATTTCTGAAGGATCATGTGACTCTGAAGACTGGAGTAATGATGCTGAAAATTCAGCATTGCATCACAGGAATAAATTACAGTTTAAAATATATGAAAACAGAAAACAGTTATTTTAAATAGTAATACTACTGTTTTTTTCCATTTAATAAATGCAGCCTCTTTGAGCATAAAAGACGTACTTCAAAAACATTTTAAAATCTTACTGACCCCAAACTTTTGAAAGGCGGTGTAATACAAGGTTAGATAAAAAACAAACTTTAAAAAAGCTGGATGGTTTGCAATGGTCACTAAAAAAATGAATAAATGCCACATTTTAACATTTAAAATTGACTGTTTTGAAGTGCCCATCAAAAATAAAGTTGGTTTGCATGTGAAAAAGTGTTTTGTTATGATATATAATATTAAATAAAGAGTAGATGGATCAGAGTATTTGGTCAGGTGCCACTGGAGAACATGGGTTTTTGGAAATTAGTCAGAATATAATAACAAAGACTAACTCAATCATTTACTGATCTGTGTGAGACGTAAGCTGTTGAGTTTCTGAGGTGAGAATTGAACCAATAGAAGGACGATAGAGAGGGATAAAACTTAATCATGTGGAAGAAGTGACATCTACTAAGCTGGTGTCTTTTTAGACTATGTAGTGCAAAGTCATCTGATATGTGCTGGGGCGTTATTGCTCATGGTGTAGGTTGGGGTTACTGGGACGTTCCGTCTATGCAGTGAGGGACGAGGGGTGAGGAATATTTGGTGGTTGAGCTGAGCCCCTCAAGAGTAGATGATATATATATTTTTTTTTAGTTATACTTGGAGAATATATTATATTAATGAAATAAAAAACCACTTAAGTGTACTTAAAGACAGTACACTTTCATGACTGTTTATTAACACATTAAGGTACACTTTTAAGTGTACTATATATAATGTCAGATCTAATACTGTAATAATCAAATGTCAAGTGTAATAATGTCAAATTAAAAGTTTTACTTTAAAGTAGATTTTGAATCATTGTTTTATTATTCTTTTGTCATGCTTTAAAGAAGCACACTTATTTTAAAATGCTGACTAACATACTAAAGCACATGTAAAGTTCTTGATTATACTTTTAACGGTTTGTTATTTATTATTACATTTAAAGTTAATATATTTTAAATGTACTAAATGTAAACGCAACTTCATTACAAATGTATAATTACAAATATACTGAAATACGTGACATAAATTTTTTAATATGTGACCATGGACAACAAAACCAGTCATAAGGGTCAGTTTTTTTAAATTGAGATGTATAGATAATCTGAAAGCTGAATAAATAGTCTTTCAATTGATGTATGGTTTGTTAGGACAGGACAATATTTGGCTGAGAAACAACTATTTGAAAATCTGGAATCTGAGGGTGAAAAAAAGCTTGTTATACATCCAACTAACGGATCAATACTTTGATCAATGAACAATGCTCAGTGGAAATACCTAAATGTGACATTGAAAATAGCTCTTGCACATCTTTGTGGGGCTGTAATTAAACTTTGTTAAACTGAAGTGTCAATACAATGATCTGGTGTTCCATAGTCAAATGATTAATAAGCAAAATATCTTAATCAGCACTGGCCTATTGTTTTGTTGTTGTTCAAATCTGTCGATGCATCTTTATGCCTAACATCTCACCCTCAACTAACAGAATAATACAATGATTGGCTGAACATTTCCTTAATGACTAAAATCTAATTTTTGATTGATTTGTTAAAGCTTTCGTATTCACCGGACACAAAACATACTCAGTAGAGACCATCATTATCTTGACTCACGGTTTCATGTTGAACATATCCTTTATGCTTTCAGGGTTGGCCACTGCTGGGTTATTGGTCTTCTCGGTTTCATCCGTCCAGGTCATCTGCACCTCCTCTCCGGGGCTCATGGACAACAAAACCAGTCATAAGGGTCAGTTTTTTTAAATTGAGATGTATAGATAATCTGAAAGCTGAATAAATAGTCTTTCAATTGATGTATGGTTTGTTAGGACAGGACAATATTTGGCTGAGAAACAACTATTTGAAAATCTGGAATCTGAGGGTGAAAAAAAATAAAAATATTGAAAAAAATCGCCTTTAAATTTGTCCAAATGAAGTCCTTAGCAATGCATATTACTAATGATAATACATTTCTGATATATTTACAGTAGGAAAATTACAAACTATCTTCTTAGATCTTTACTTAATATCCTAATGATTTTTGGCATAAAAGAAAAATCGCTAATTTTGACCCATACAATGTATTTTTGGCTATTGCTACAAATATACCCCAGCGACTTATGACTGGTTTTGTGGTCCAGAAACTGGCTTTAACCCAAAATATTTGTAGCCATTTGAAATTAGGGGCAACCACTGCATTTGAATCACAATCCAAACAAAGATGCTGCACACGTTGCACAAGCAGATGTTTTTGATTTGAATTTTATAATTTGAAGATTTAAAGCAAAAACATAATTGTCTGACTTTAGCTTTGTGAAAGTATGCTACATAAAACATATCTGCATGAAACAAAAACAGCAGACGAGCTGAATGAGATGCAAATTCACTCTCTGCAGGTGGTGCTTATGGAACAGCAGCAATATAGACTTTCTTTGGTTACCGCTGTAAACTAAGCAGTGCTGCGCTTATTAACACTACTTTATACAGAGGAAAGAGGAGAAGAAAATACCATTACCATCAAAACTTTTCTGAAAACAGTCAGTTGCCCTCAGTGATACATTCATATTTGTATTTTCTTCCTATATTTTGAGCATCGTGAACGGTGATCTTGCTCTGCATGCTACAGCATTTCCTCCTCTTTGCGCCCGTCTTCAGCATCTCTCGCTTCAGTTATCGTCATGTTTACAGACTCAGGCATGATATATTTTTCTATATCACTGTCCCAGTAGCTCCCGAAATTAATATAAAATTAAGTACAAAAAAATAAAGTACAAAGACTGGAGAAATGTAATGTACTTTTGTACTTATTTTTCTGTTATTTAAGGGAGCTACTGGGACAGTGATAAAGATCGACAGGTTGTTTCACAATATTACTGATTTTACTGTATTTTTGATCAAATAAATGCATGTGTATACACATTTTGACACCTCTTAAAATAGTGTAAATATCCATAATGACGTTACAAAACTGTCACTGAGCTTGTTGCACATTGTGGGATTGGTGTATCTGTGAAACATCTGAAAAAAAAAACATATCTTAAAAATGTATCTTCTATTTTGAAAAGCCTTGGAGTTGGTTGCATTCCTCTGATGCCTAAAATGCTGTCTAGGTAGGCAGCTCACTAGGGTTTAAGTTAGAGCTGTATGGTTCTTGTCCACACGCAAAGTACCATTATCTACCATCAATGATAAAACATTTGCTCCAACATTGATCTGATCACTCTGCCAGCAGTACCTTGTGCTGGCGCAGGAGGAAGGGAAGGAGCATGAGCAAGCCTCCGTCATGGACAATCCACCACACGTCGATGTGGCCCTCAGTGAAACGCTCTCCGTTTGATGGATATGCAGAGATGTTCTTCGGCACCAGCAGGGCCAGGTGAGCTGCAGTGGTCTCCCTAACAACCTCTGTGGGGAAAAACAATAAAACAAAAACGCATACCAATAAACTCAAACACACTAATTTGTGAGGTCATACATAGAGCTACACTGGGAAAACAATCTAATTGTGATCATGAGCTGCTCACGTGTAAGAACACAGTACGCTGACATAAAATGGTAATATCTAAATATCTAAAACGGGTGTTGTTCAAATAAAAAATATATAATTTAGCTTTACTAAATCAACCTAAATACATTAATTTATACCAACAAAATGGTTTTTACGGTTAAGGTTAGGGACAGGTTTGGTCTTATGGTTAGAGTTAGGTTTAAGGATGGGTTAAGGTGTAGGGTTAAAAGTGTAATTAGAGATGTAACTACAGAAATTAAATATATAACTACAGGATGCTATTTTTTAAATACAAGTACAATGTAAAAACATGTATGTACACAAAAATTGCATTGTATCAAGTGATTAATTTAAATGTAAGCACATAGCATTTAAAGTCACTTAATATAAATTAGGTCCCTAGTCATGCACATGTATGTATTCAATATTCATCTATGTAGATATCTATGCACTCTTTATCATTTCTCATAACAGGCAGTTTACAATCTTGTGAGCAAGAGTTGCTTTACTGATTGATAACATAGTGATATCAGTAAAGCTGAGCCAAAAGTCATGAAAACATGGGTAAAAAGTTCATCAACCAGCTATAACAGAGGCTCTGCTATCTTTGTTGCACTGTCCAAACTAACCTAACATCTTGTCTTACCAATGAAGTTCCTACAGCGGTGGTGCTCCTCAGCCTGTTTCCAGTTCTTAGGGAAGCTGACCAGAACCGTGTTGTGACGGAGGCCACCTAGTCCTCCAGCCTGGATCAGGTGTGAGGTGGCGTCCCGCAGGTTAGAAGAGATCACTACCTGACTGAATCCCTTCACCTTCTCGACCTCCATCAGCTTCCTTAGGGACTGAGAGAGATGGATCTTATTAGCGTCAGTAGTTCTGCAGGAGCTCAGCACTGATCCTCTGTGTGTATGTATGTGTGTCTGTGTGTGTGTGTGTGCGCATGCATACTTGGTCTGCTTTCTGTGCCTGTGGCTGGTTGTTTAAGTAGGTGCCCTCCACACACGCTCCCACGATGGTCAAGCCTTTGCCCGCTTTCAGTTGACTGGTCAGAGACAGCAGTCGAGGCTGCTCTACGCTCTGCTCCCCATCCAAACTCATAAGCACCAGAATCTGGGGCCTGGAAGATTGATAACATTTTAAAAATGTAAAATACATTCTCAATATTTTGGATGAATGTAATTTGACGTGAGAACCATGTTGTGCATGTAATAGTTTACTGCTTGTTTGTTGTGTGAAGAGGCATATTACTGATCAGTCACTAACCTCCAGTTTTTAGTGTGAGGAGGACCTTCCTCCAGCCTCATCAGAGCATAGCGGGCGGCACTCAGAGAAATACCACGAATCCCATCACCCCACTCCTTCTCTGCCCTACAAAGATCAGGATCAGGTTATAACTTTTATATATTACAAATTTGATGATATTAATAATTTGATGATATTGCTGTTGTATTCCATTTTTTAAAGTATGAAATCATGAGATTACTTTACAATTATTTTGTATTTCTATTGACATCACTATTTTTAACAAGAAATAAAAAAGGTTTATACATTTAACATTGTTAATAGATAATGAAAGATGTTGTCAAATGAATCAAATTAAACTATCTTCAAAAGTTTGGGGTCAATATGATTTTTTTTTTTTAAATTAATACTTTTATTCAGCAAGGATGCATTGAATTATTATTAAAAGTGACAGTAAAGTTATTTATAATGTTACAAAAGAATTCAATTCATCAAAGAATTCTGAAAAAACGTAATATGGTTTTCACAAAAATATTAAGCAGCACCACTGCGATAACAATAATGAATGTTCCCTGAGCACCAAAAATGTTAAAATGATTTCTGAAGGATCATGTGACACTGAAGACTGGAGTAATAATGCTGAAAATTCAGCTCAGCATCACAGGAATAAATTACATTTTAAAATACATTATAATAGAAAACACTTATTTAAATTGTAATAATATTTTACAATATTACTGTATTTTTGATTAATTAAATACTAAACTCCTTGGTGAGCATAAAAGCATAAAAGAACAAAAAAATCTTACCGACCTTGAACTTTTGACATATTAATCATATACTTTGGCTTAAGTACATTATAACAGAGAATATAAAATCAAATAAGTGAATTCTAGAAACATGTTGTCTTTTTTTAAAGCATGCTTATATTTATCTCAAACTATACTAATGGGTCTTTATACATGATACTTTGGCCAAACCTTATTACTAAACCTTAGTATCTTCCACTAATAATCATCTGAAACTACAGTATATAGATTTACTTTGAATAATTACTCATTACACCACATTCGTCAGGCCTTTAAATAAATCCTCTAGCAGAAAAAACTAAAAGCTGTACAGACAATAATGCCTTTTCTGCCAAGAGTGAGATTGATCTAGTTAGTGTGAAACTCATTAAGTTTTTTCCTTTTTTTCCTCTGTTGTCGCCTCCTCCCGAGACTCATTCAGGTTTGCTTACCCGCAGAATTCGATGTATTTGTAGATGCAGCTGGCGATTACCATGGCAACAATGGCGTAGTACCAAGAGCAGAGGAACATCAGGGTAAGACACAAGCTCATGCCCAAGAGTGACAAAGCCCTGGAGAGACATTACAGTCCAACTCATGCTCATTTGTCCAGTTAACAATTGCTGTGATTTTGGTGTCAGCTGTGTTTATAATAATAACGATAACCACCACAGGTGACTGTAATCTTAGCGCTGGAAGAAGGACTTAATTATGTGGTGTGATGTCTGTAGCCTTCACTTTAAGGTTAAACTTTACAAAAGACTTTCATCCTCTCAAAGCAATAATTTTGTGAACAAACACACTTTCTGTCAGTGACACAAACCTAAGGGAGCAGGTGTTTGTGTGTGTTCGTACCAGTGGTAGAACTTAAAGCGTGGCCTCCAGTTCGGGGTCCTGAGGAGAGTCTGCAGCGCACAGGCCAGATTTACAAACATGTAGCACATGAGGAAGAACCTGCAGAGGAAAACAGAGCATCAGAATATTCATCAGAAAAATTATATAGAGAAAACACTTCCCCATTTGAAATTCTCATGTTTTGCAGTAATGGACTGCATTAGTGATCATTTATGTGTGTTATATTAAAGGTGCTGAATATTTATGAATTCAGTTATTCTGGATTGTATGCTCATAATTACATTAGACCACTATGTCCAGATCAGTTTGAAATCAATGCTGATCAGCGAAAGAAAGACAAATGAAGTCACTGTGGCTTTAAAGTGTTGAGAAAAAAAAACCAAAGCATGACAAAGTCCATACTTTTATCAGCTGTACATTTGTAATGCATATCTACAAAGGTTATAAGGGGGAATGTAGTGAATACAAAGTGCTGAATTAATGGTATTTTATTGTGCTATATACCTGTAAATAAGTTTAGGAAATAGAGGCTATTCAGCATAGTAAAGAAGTTTTATTACAGCAATATTGAGAAAGTAGAGACAGTTTATTGCTGTTGTTTCTCTGGGACTCATAAAGAACGAGGTGTGCTGTGCAGGGGTGTAGCCGTCATTTCAGAAGTGAGGGGGACAGGAATGTCAAATGTAATATATTGTATTGTAGTGTATTTATTTATTTATTTAGACCAAAACAAAACAAACTTTTCTTATCTCTTAATTGGGAAAAAAACCCCACTCCTGGACAATAACCAATAATTTGTACTATATATATATAATACAAATAATATCACTATATAATACCAATCATGAAATTGTCATTAGGGAATATATATATATATATATATATATATATATATATATATATATATA